CCCGTTCCTCAGCACGGAAGGCAGGATCGGACCATCGGCCGCTCAGAACCCAGCCGCCTCCTCACGCGCTTGCACGCCGACGTCCGTGCACGGACCGCACCACCACGTGCACGGGCAAAGCGGGCGCCTGCCCGCGCCGGCTCCTAGAGCCCCGCGTGTCTGTGCCAGGGGCTGAGGGGTCAGCTCGCCTGAAGCCAATTTGCCTCTCAGGGAGGGTCCAGGCTTTTCATGAACAACCATCGCAATCTGAAAGCACCACCATGCACACATCAGTAAGCCTACTTTTGGTAAAACACCGGCACTCAAAGAAGACTGAATCATAAACACTACCGAACTATCAAATAATTATCAACACCAGAAGTAGATGAAGAAATAACAAAACTGTAAAGGTGAGATAACTGCATCATGACTTTGATTTAAATGCTTGTTTACAACGGCAAGTGAGCGACAGGCTAGGTACGTGGCCTGAGCCCCAGAAGAGAAGATACTGCTCGCTCTTATTTTTATTTCCTATTTTGAATGAGAGGCTGATTGGGAACATTTTTAAACGCGGGAGACTAAGTCATTAAAACAGAAGCACTTGGATTGCTTTCTTCCTTTAGGGGATTTACTTCATTTTACTTTATCTGACACAAGTCAGAAAGAAATAAGAATATTGTAAGGAGAAGGAAAGCTGAATTTTGACACGTTATTTCCATTGAAATTCTTCCACTGACTTTGTTAAGCTTTTCCTAAGATCAGAAAACGAGGCTTTACCTAAAAGGAATTTGAGAGACTGGTAGATTTTCCTCACACACTTGTAGCACTACAGCATCCTACTGTCTCAAAGCGGAGGATTTTTTTTTCAAACTGTTCCCAAATCTTTTGCATTTGTTCACAAACTGGTATCTCCGTTCTGTTTATACTCGGATAGAATATTGAGAGTCATTTCCTCGCTTTTGGACTGCACGTTGTGTTCGCTTCTTCTGGACGACTTCCTGGTTGCCCTGGAAAGGCGCCTTCGAAAGGTATCGCCTGCCAGAAAGTAAAGAATAGGGTCTACGCAGCTGTTGAGGCTGGCCAGACCCCTCGTCACTTGGTAAGTGGCATAAACCTTATCGTTGAAGGCACACATTTGCGGAGTCTGAAAATCCACCCTGGCTCTTAGGTTTAAGGTCTTCATCACGTGGAAGGGAAGGTAAGACACAGCAAAGACGGTCAACACAATAATAACCAGGTAAATCGACTTTCTCCTGAGAGGAGAATTGTCCAAATCTTTGTAAATCAAAGCTTTCACAATGAGCCCATAGCAACCAAGAATCAGAATGAACGGGATGCAGAACATAAGCACGGTGGTGCACATGCTGTAAATGAAGTAACTTCTCAGGTAATCATCGGCCGTGGTGTCGTAGCACGTCGTAGTTTTATTCCTCCGTATCCCCGTTCCCGAGTAGAAGAGTATTGGAGAAATCACGGCCACCACAACGACCCAGACCAGGGTGCTGATGTACACCGCGTTCTTCTTCTTCAGCCTCCCCAGCGACTTCAAGGGGTGCACCACTCCCGTGTACCTGTGCACGCTTATGCAAGTTAAAAACAAAATACTGCCGTACAGGTTCACGTGGAAGATGAACCTCTGCAGCTTGCACATGATATCTCCGAAGATCCAGTCTGTTTTATTGAAGTAGTAAAAGATAAGGGCAGGCAGGGTCAGGACGTACAAGAAATCGGCCAGCGCCAAGTTGAACATATAAACTGAGATGCCGCTCCAGGGCCTCATGTGGAAGACAAACATCCAGATGGCCACGCTGTTGCCCAAAAACCCAGTGATGAAGACCAGAATGTAGACGGTGGGCAGGTAATAGAACTGGAAGCCAGTTTTGGTCAGGGAACACTTGGTGGTGGCGTTTCCCGCAGACCAGCCACTGCTGGATAACAGGTTGGGTTCAGTTCCATTCAAAGCAGCAGAGAAGAGGACTTCGGTCATGATCCTTCCACCAGAGTCATATAGGTCTGAGGTGAAGGAACAAAGTCTCTACAGGAACAGTAACGCATCTAAAAAAAAAAAACCACACACACAAAAAAAAGAAAGCAAAGAAAACCTAACTGGAAGGTAAAACCTGCCCTCCTTCTCTTCAGAGGGTCTCCAAGCGGGTGTGCCCGGCTGAGCCTCTCCCACCCGCGCAGGTCGCTCTAGCCGGGGGACACCTCGGCGGGTCGCTGC